AGACTGGGGGTATAGATCAGTGGCCGAGTACTTGCCTAGGATGCATGAGGCCCTGGATTTAATGCCTAGCATCTCCCCCAACACAAAACAACAAAAAAGATTAGCAGACATTGTACAGTACTGATAGAATTACCACTCTTTTAGCTAAGTCAGAAGTTCAATAATTATCCACTGAGTGTAAATGTGATTTTTAACCAAGCAAGCTAAACTAGACCATCTTTCTTTTCTAAGGCATACTCAACTGAAAGACCATTTTTCCAAAGTACACTTATTCACATTTAAAAAATGAATTATATCTGTCCTTTTTTAAAATTTAGTTTTATTTTTTAGGAAAATACAAAATAGTAATAAGGAAAAAATTAGAAATTATACAGAATTTCAGTAAAAATAACATGAATTCAGCAGTATTTGTTGTATTGCATAGTTTTATCTTCAAATTTGTTCAGATTACCAGATATATGCATATAAAATTGGAAAAAGAAAAAAAACATTATAATTTGAGAGTGAAAAAAAAACCCAAAAAATTTAAGCATTGCTTCTTTCCACAGACCAGTAGAAACCCAAAATATAATTATCCAAACCATCCTGCTTACATATATGTATCTCCTTCCTCTACTCCCTCTCCTGTCCTCATCTCAGTTCATAATTCCTTCCTTTTGAACAGGTTTATTACATTTTCACAGTATTTATTATATCCTTCAGATTTTATTTACTCTCTTAGTTTCTTACTCTAGGGAGACAAAAAACATGTAGATCTGATTTATTTCACTTAAGAGTTTGGTGTCTAGTTGGAATGGATAAAGATGTATTTTTACAGTGGGGTATTATTCAGCTATAAAAAGGATACATGAATACAACCAGAGACTCTATGTTATTTTTGCCTAATAAAAGACTTTAAAAATGAGTTACAAATATAAATATTAATGTCAACAAGTTATGATGCAGTATTTTGGCAGGAGTGATTCCACAGGATGTTTCTAATGGAGACTCGTAACAAAGCAACAGATTCTTCATGAATGTGAGAGTAAAAAACAAGATATAATGAAGCAGGCAGCAAAGCTTACAGATCTAGAAATATTTTTTATATGCTTAGAACACATTTCTTCTCTACATTGTATTAGTAATCAAGAACACTGTAGCATCCCTCCCCTTTTTTGTGGTACTGGGGCTTAAAACCAGGGCTTAGGGCTGGGGAGACAGTGTGCAAGGTCCCGAGTTTGATCCCCGGTACCACAAAAACCAAAACCAAAACCAAAACCAAATCCAAAACCAAAACCAAAACCAAAACCAAAACCAAAGAAACAAAAAACTCAGAGCCTTTTCACTTAAGTATATTTTCAACTCCTGCCCCTCCACCCCATCTTTTTTTTAGACAGGGTCTCATTAAGTAGTTTAGGCTGATAGTGAACTATTAAGTCTAGGCTGGCCTCAAACTCACAGCAATCCTCCTGCCTCATCCTCACCAGTAAGGGGAGGTAATGTACTACCACACATGGTTCCTTGAGCCTTCTAAAAAATAATTTTTTGGGGTACGGTATTTTGTAAGGTCACTAAATTATCAAGGCTGAGCTTGAGTTCATAGTTTTCCTGTCTCAGCCTCTAAAGGTGCTGGGATTATAGGATGAACCATCATATCTGGGCTTTTTTTTTTTTTTTTTTTCTTTTTCTATTAACAGTTGCTAACTAGGAATCTAAAGCCACTACTCTTAGAATTGTGTTAATCCGAACTAATTTTAAAATGTTGAGCTTGCAGGAATCAATAACGTAAAATTTTACTTTTAAAACTTCATGGATAATTGAGAATTTACTATGTTATCCTCTATGAACTTAAAATGAACTGTTCCTGTAAAAAATATTCAATGGCTTTAAGCTACATTACATGCATGAATATAAATTATTTTGCTCCTCCTGAACTATGCCATTTGCCTTACTCGTATTTTGAAACCCTAAATCATCACCAAAACGTCTTTGGAGAAGATACTAACTTGAAATGACCTCAACCAATAAGGGGATATGTACACAGATCTGAGCCTAAGGGTTTATTTATTTTTTTGTTTTTTTAAGGAACTGGGGGTTGAACTCAGACCCTTGTGCTTTTCAGGGAAGCGCTTATTCTACTGAGCCATCTCCCTGGCCCCCATGTACACAGATTTGAAAAGCATATCATCTCATGTAATTTAGAAGTGAGGATAATATCGAGAGAATGCTAAATGAAACTGTCATGCAAGATATAGTTAAAAGTATCTTAAAATGTTCTCATATGATTAATAATTAAACATATCATCTATATCCCTGAAAGTTTATCAAATTCTATTTTAGAGAAGAATTTTCTTATTAGGAAAATGATACAAAGCATTACATTTAATTAGAGGCTTATACTGAATATCTTTTTGTGTGTCACCTAATCACTCTCTCCTCCATTACAGACACTCATAGTTTAATGACTAAAGTATGGTCACCTAAGTTGTTAAATGCATCGGTCACTAAATGAGGAATTGGATATAGTGTAAAATATTCAGAAAAAGTGATCAAAGAAATTTCCAACTTGATGACTTTGCTCTTATTGCGTAAATTCTTACATGTAGTACTGTAATGTGTAACATAAAACTACAGTACTGTACAGCATATAAGCAAAAATTACAGTACTGTATAAATAATACTATCCAAAAAGAAAAGACACTGAGGCTCCGTAAACAAGATGTACAGAAATGTACTGGGGGAAAAAAAAGAGATTTGGTTAGATCCAAGTGGTGGGTCATTAAGTCTGAACAGTCTTTAATTAAGTAGGTTGTTAAACAATACTTTGTTAACGACTGTGTAAACCAAGGATCATTTTTATTTTTCTCATTTTTCTTTTTCCTTCCTTTGGTCCTAGAGATTAAACACAGGAGCACTCTCCCACTGACTGAACTATATACATCTCCAGTGCTTTTTACTTTTTGAGACAAGGGTCTAATTGCCTAGGTTGGTCTTGAATTTGCAATCCTCCTTCCTCAGTCTCCAGAGTAACTGGGATTCTACAAAAGTATACTACTGTAAGTAGGCATTTTCTCATTTTCCAAGAAACAAAAGGAGGAAAAAAAAAAAAAAAAAGGAAATGCCTCTGAAATTAGAAGAATTAAAAATTTTAAAAATCTTTATTTATTTGGTACAGGGTCTCACTATGCAGCTCAGACTTGTAGTGATCCTCCTGTCTCAGCCTCCACAATGCTGGGATTACGGCCATGTGCCACCATGCCTGGTTTTGGTAGCCAGTTAGGCATGAGGCCAGCATGGCATGCAGTACTAGAGATCAAATAGTTTATTCAGATAATTCAAGTTCCAAACAACATTTCTAAACAAGCAGGCTTTTTTCTGTTACAATGTTTAGTTTTATTTTTGACTTAATGTTAAAATCAAATCACATACTTGAGGGGTGAGGAAACACTCTACATTTGTCAACTTTGTTGAAGTGTAGATTCTTACAATTAACTGAATATTTACATAAGTTTTTAAAAAAGAAGTAACATCACAGAGACCATATCAACAGAATCTGAAAATTGTCGAAGATGTTGAGTACTTAATTAGAATATTCAACTCTTGGTTTAATGAAGTATTATTTCTTCTGAAGTACTGAGGATTGAATCCAGGATCTAATGCATGTTAGGTCAAGGGCTTTACCATTAATCTATGTCCTCAGTCTTAGATTAATAAACTTTGTGACACTGTTCTATAACCAACAAATGAAACAGCTGAGACAAATTAATTTTTTGAATAACAGTTAATGTTAACTACTTTCATACCTGGTTCATGAGTTATGACTTAAAACAGTTATTTTACTATTGCTTTAATTCTATTATCTTTTCAATTCTTTATCTTTCAGTTACAGTTCTGTTTGAATTTTTCCTTTTAAACATCTGTACTGTTAATAATTTCTGACTTCCATCCTATCTGGTTAATATGACTAAAGAGGCTTATGCTTATCCTGGGGTTCTGTCTTTCTGAACTGAAAAACAAAGCTAGTCAACATGAAATGTATCAAAGTTATATGCTGAAAGCCTGTGCCAGATAATTAAGTTTCCTAATAAAACTTGGAGGAATCATTAAAGCTTGGCTAGCTATCTCTTTAAATTAGCAAGTCTCGTCACATTTTAAGACTGATGGTTGACTAGCAGTTGAAAAAGATTCATTCAGTTCTGAGGGATTTTTCTGACTAGGACTTTAAGAATGGTAGAGTAAGAAAGGTAATGTATGAAGAGATGTTGCTTAAGGCCACAGTTATACGATACATGCTGTCATCCTATGATGATTACTACTAAGACATTTTTTACTTTTGCAAAATGTTGAAAAAAACAACTATAATCAGACTACTGCAGCATTAACTTACTATAATACAGCTAAACTAACTGCATAAATATTAACATTTCCTAAAAATTATTAAAAGCATTTAAATTATGAAATACACCTATAAAAGAAACACTATGAGAAGAATGCTTGTAGAAAGTGCTTTAGTTCCTATATAATTAAAGCTGTTTCCAAATAAAATTTCTTTAAAAAAATTTCTCCTTAAGGAAACAAAATATGTGAACCAATTTTTTAAAGAATATTTTACAAATATAAATCATAAAAAATTAGTAGAGTTCACTATGAAGCAGAATTATAAAATATATCAGTTAACTCTAAAGATTTATGAAATTATTGCTCTGTTGACCAGTTCAGGAAAGAATCTTCTGCAGCTCAATACAACTGGCATCAAGGGGCCGGGGAGATGGCTCAGCGGAATAAGTGCTTCCCTGGCAAGCGCAAGGGCCCGAATTCAATCCCCGGTTCCGCAAAAAAAAAAAAAAAATAAATAAATAAATAAATAAAATAAAAATAAAACTGGCATCATAAACCATGTATAAAAAAAGCCGAAACAAAACCAAAAACTTAGTTTGAAATATTCTAATATTACTGCTTAACCTTCATCTTATTAACTGCTCAATTAACTTCTTTTTCTTTCTTTTTTTTTCAAGTAACTTCTTTTAGAATTACCTGGAAAAACAATTTTGGTATTTCAGATGTTAGACATTAATTTCCTATTACCTTAAGCAATGCATTATGGCACCTATACATTTTATAAAAGGCTATTTTATAAATCACATTTCTATACATGTAAATGATAAACATTAAAATAAAAATATATAGATAAAATACTTGGGAGAAAGCTTGTTAAATCTCTTTTATTTCAGTAAAAAGATTATTTTCAATGTCTTGGCTGAAAAGGTTGCTGTTGCCATGGAGCTGGAAGAAAAAACCCACAGAGATTTTAGACACGTTAAATAATGTAGACTAATCATATATAATAGCAAAGTAAAAACTACTTAAGATTACATTAGAACCAAAGAGATCAGAGTTGAAATTATACACCTGCCCTTTGCTATGCATAGGATCCTGGAAAATTTGAGACTCTCTGAAGAGTAGTTTCTCAAATGGTAAGAAGGTAATATTCTTACATCACCCTTAGGTATTCTGTGGTAATTAAATGTTAAAGAACATAATGTGCTTGGCACAGAGGATTCAATTTACTGAATTTCTAGGATTGAATTCAAGCATGCTGAACAAACCAGTGATATGTGGCTCAAAGAGATGTTCACATCTTTGTAAAAATGCAGTTGATTTAAATGTGAGAGGTAATCTCTATGAGTAATCTACACTTCTGAAAACTAGAATATGTGTTTAAAAATATTTTAATGCCTCCAATTTTTTGTTTTTTAAGCTTTCTTATATTTTAAGTAGTTAAGCTGTTAGTGATATTTTAAAAAATCTTCTGGAATTCAATTCTAGCTGAGACTTTCAATATTATCATTTGTTATTGGATATAGGGTCTCACTACACAGTTCAGACTCATAGTGATGCTCCTTTCCCAGCTTCCTCAGTGCTAGGATTACAGGTGTGTGCCTCCATGCCAGCTTCAGGGCCAGCATAGAATGTGGTATTGAGGTTCAAATGCAGGTTCTTATGCTTGCCAGGTAGGCGCTTAGACCACTGAGCTATCTCCTCAGCCCAGCATCCAAAGTTTTGAGATGGACTTTTGGACACTTTACATAACTTTTTCTTTTCTTATTTTGGTACTGGGAATCGAACTCAGGACATTGTGCTTGCCAGGCAGGCCTGTGCTGCTGAGCCATACCCTTGGTCCCTTAAATAACTTTTATTTTCACTGGATCAATATAACCAAAGAGGTAATAAGATTCAAAGTCATATCTAGAGTTGATTCCAGAAGATTTTTAAAAATATCACAAATAGCTTAACTAATTAAAAATACAAGAAAGCTCAAATAATGAAGGTTTCTATGAAAGAATTAAAATCAAGATTTCCTACTTGAGAAATTAAGGTGCACTATATTTTTTCTCAGATGAAAAATTTCTGCCCTGCTTAACTCATTTTGTGGGAAAAGGAGGGAGGGAAGGAAAAGATAGATTGTTATGCCACCACCAAGTTTTATTACATCAGTGAGAGAATCATGTAAGAAATACCAAAATACCAGAAGGATTTTCAAATGGGAGAATAGTAAGGTCAGTGATGCTTGAATATTGAAGTAGCAGCTGTGGGAAATGAGGATGGATATGCAGGATGTGAACAGCTCTGCTTCTCAAGTTATAGTATCTGAACTGTAGCTAGGTGATAAATTTTGTTAACCAGAAATAAAAGTATATTAGACTGGGAATACAGCTCAGTGTTTTAGTGCTTGCCTAGAAAACTCTGGGTTCTATTCTGTCACCCCAACCCTGCAAGAGTCTGCTTCTATATGAATTTAGCCAAATGGTGCCTAAATATTTTTTGTACTATACTTATTTGTAGCAGCTGGCAGGATTTGAAACAACTGTTTAAAAGGAATTTTCTTGCATTATTAACAGATGATAGCTTATTTAAAGTGTTTTTTCTTTTTGAGGTACGGGGATTGAATTCAGGACCCTACACTTGCCAGGCAGGTGCTTATTCTACTGAGCTTTTTTTTTTGGAACCAGGGCCCTTGTGCTTGCCAGGCAAGCAGTTGTTCTACTGAGCCATCTCCCTGGCCCTCTACTGAACTATCTCCCCAGGCCTAAAGCAAGTGTTTTTTGATGGAAGAATATTTGGGTGTAATTACTGTTTCTGTAGAATCAACAGTTATTTTATAATTCTACTTTAAGTCTAATAATGCACATTTCAATTTAATTAAAAACTTATATTCTAATTGTATTTAATAAATAGAATTAGGTGCTTAGAGAAAACAAAACTGCAAGTTCCAGAGGGAAAGTACCAAGTTCTTCTACCAACAATTTCAATTAACAAGATGCACTTACACTAGGGTACTGTATTATGTTAACACACAGAGAAGAAAAAGATTGCTTTATATAGTTTCCTTTTGCACCTTGACTTTTAATCAAAATTTCTCTCCAATTATTAAGATAAGTTTCACAGAATGAAATCTTAAAAATGCGGAACTCTACATGTGCCCAATTTTATTTGGTACTAGGAACTGAACTCAGGACCTTGTACTTGTCAGGCAGATACTGTCATGTTAAGCTATATCCCCAGTCCCTATATCTTTGATTTTTATCTTCTAGGGGCAGTCAACTTCAAATGCTGGCATTTAGGTTTATGTGATATAGCTTTAAAAAAGTCATGTCATTAGAAATTTTTATAATTTATTTAATGATTATATCATTGTATAGCTCTAATTATAATTTACTTAACTATTCTCTGAGATTTTCTTTAAGGACACATTTGTGACACAACCAGTTCTTTTCTCTAATCTTTGACAACTATATTTGTAACTAATAATACAATTTAACTGTCTGATATATGAGCAATTTTACAAATGTGCATAGAAAAATGTCTCATATATGTAATCAATTATGAATTCCATTACATAAATGTACAAAATTAAAAGACTCAAATGTTAAAACTTACACAACTCACCATAAATCCAAGGAGCTTCTGGAAGCACATCTGCAGCAGGATGATAAGGATAATCAGTTGGTGGTAATAGCTGATGAGAAGCATACTGTGAAACAATTGGTTGCTGAAAATAAGAAATAGGCATCTGAGACTGAAAATACCCATTTATTGGCACAAAAGCATTTGCTTGCGGCTGATCGGCAAAATAACGAAAATTCTGAGGGTATAGGAGATTAGAATGTGTGCTTTGGACAGTATTTGTAAGCGTAGTCAGTATTCCAGAAGGAGGTGACTGTACTTCATATGATGTTATCCGTTGGTATGTATGGGTAATGCCATTGCCACTGCTGCTGCTGTAATGATAAATGCACCAAGCATAGTATGGAGTTTCCACTGAATGGTCAGAAGAATTACATACTGGGGCGCAGGTAAACTGTGGAAGTTCATTCCAGTGTATGGCAGTTTTCTGAGTTAGGACTTTTGATTTCTCTTCATCATGTTCAGAAAAGGAGTACTCTGTTGTCTGAGTCACATCAGGGGGTAAGCTTCCAGATGCTCCAAGAGGTATAGGACTGGGATTCAATGTATCAGGAATCCTGCTCTGGTTATATACAGATTCTGGAAAACTGGCACATGTGGATTTATTAATAGGTGAATCTAATTGTTCATTATCTTGATGTTCTAAGACTGTGCCATTTATTTCTAGGTTGGTATGTATATGCACTGATGAATTAGGCACAAGAGAGTCACCAGTTGTTGGTTTTATGTTTGAAAAACAAGTTTGCTGTGGGAGAGTCTTAAGTTTCTGTGAAGGTATATCTTGGTCTTTTGACAAAGTGCCATTTATACTTTTCTGGTCACAAGTTGCAAAAGCAGCATCATTTTTAAAACGCTTTGTTTCAGGAGCACCAAAATTCACATTTTTCTTTATGTTATTTAAGTTTTCCTGTTGTTCAGTGAGGTGTTTTGAGGCACTCGGTGAACTATTAGTTACATCTATTTTGCTTTGTGACTCTGATGTGTAAGTGGCTTGTGGGTTCTTTAAAGGTGAAAATGAGTCACTTAATGATCTCTGCATTTCATCCCTTTTTGGAGATACACAATTTCTTTTCAGATTGTCAGATGAACTGGATCTTATTGTGTTCTCACCTTTGGGATGAAATCCTGTAGTCCTATTAACAACATGTAAACAACTTTAAATATATAGTCATTAATTTTTTGGTGATGGGGATTGAACTCAGGGCCTCATTTATGTTATATAAGCATTCTACCACTGAACTACAGTCTACCACTTTATCTGGCGGCAGAAAAACAAGGTTGGAGATCCTACTGATTCAGCCTTGGAGGTTGATCTCCAATCAAAATTTTAACAGAATTTTGTATTTCAAATTTTTATTCAGGGTTTTTGAAGAAAAGAATTTATTTTATTTTATTTTTTTGCAGTACTGGGGATTGATCTCAGGACCACTTACTCTACTGAGTTAGCTCCTCAGCCCTAAAAAGAATTCTTAAGAGTGACATTTGCTCATTTTGTTAAGAGTATACAAAGAAACTGTTTCCTTGCTTGTAATTTAGATACTTATCCTGATAAAGATTATATAATCTGCATTTTAAATGTATTTCCAATATTGTAAAATTAACAGCTTTGTGCTCTGGATATTTCCTCATACTTTTAAAAGTATAAAAATGGGCTGGGCTGTAGAGTTAGAGAATTTGTAGTAGTAGAGAATTTGTCTAGCCTGTGTGAGGCCTTGGGTTTGATCCCTAGCATTACCAACCCCAACACACAATAAAAAGTAAGAAAATATCATTAGTGATTGATGTAGTTTCTAATTCATACTTCCAACACAATGGTGATTTTCATTATTTGTAAATAACCATACATTCACATATGTGCACGTACACAGAAAGATTGTAATTCTCAGCTGTGTATTTTCAACTTCCTACCAAAGACCTCCTAATAAAACATCTGCAAATATCTTGCCCATCAAGTATCCTTGGTATTTTTACCTAAGACAATATTAAAGCAGGCTGAGAGAAGCCAAAATCCTGTCATATCAACAGTAGCATCAGATTCTCATAGGAGCACAAAGCCTACTATGAACTACACACGCAAGGTTACGTGGTTCTTATAAGAATTTAAAGCCTGATGATCTGAGATAGAGCTGAGACATCACTGCAAAAACATTAGAAGAGGTTTTACTGAACAGAGACAATAATAAATAAACCTACTAGTAGTCTCTTACTAAATCCTTATTGAGTGACAAGTGACAAGCTGCATCTGGTTGCAGGCTTTATAGTGGCAAGTGAGTTGATATAATTCAATTATACAGCTTTATGTGGTGGCAGAAAAACAAGGTTGGAGATCCTACTGATTCAGTACTGAATTGTTTAATTACTTTATATTAAAATGTAACAACAAAGTACACAGTAAGTGTAATGTGTCTGAATCCTCCTAAAACCACCCTGCCCCCTCAGTCTGCTAAAAAAATCATCTTCCACAAAACCAGACTCTGGTGCCAAAAAGATTGGGACCTACTGATTTACAGAATAAAGCCTGAGTTTATTTGAAGGCTCACTAAAAACACAGTATAATAAGAAACACATGATGCAACAGAGTAGTATGAATAATTGCTTTTTTCTTCTTCCTATGTTTTGTTTGTAATTTTGTTTATAGTTTTGCTTCAGACAGGGCCCACTATAGCTCTTACCTTAGACACCTGAACACTGCCTTCTCACTGTTGATTTTGGAGATATTGTTCATGTTAACCTATGTTTAAAAGAAACAAAGAAAACTTCCATTAGTGGTGACAAAATAAAATATAAATATTAATCTTATTCCCCAAAATTGACTGCTGGACTTTCCATATTTCATATACTTGAAGATTTTTTTTTTAAAATAGCAACATTGTTCTTTTTCTAAAACTAATCTTATTTTATCTTTACCATTTGGCCACTAAGTCCCACCAGTTCTTTAAACAATGTACTATAAAAAGAAATGCCTATCAGGCTTTGTGTATGTGTACATGAAAGATAAATCAAATTTTTGTTTAGATTTGGTTCCATCACTAGATATCTCATTATACAATCATTTTAGGATTTTTTTTTTTTTTGGGGCTGGCTAGGCCCGCCTTAAGGGCTTGTCTGGTGAGGCATGTGGTGCTGGGGATCAAACTGGGGCCCCCCACACCTGAGTGAGTTTGCCCAAGCAGGTGCGTTAGACAACTGAGCTAGTCTGCCAGCTTCTATACAAGTATTTTAAAAAGCTGAAGAAATACAAAATCTAAAACACCTCAGGTCCAAAGCATTTTAGACAAAGAATACTCAACTTGCATGGATTTGTACTTATTTTATAATCAGCACTCTTTTGTGAACTGCAGCTGCCTAAAATTTCAAACTATATTCAGGATTTCCTTATCTTTTAAATCACTAAAGCAACACTTTTTTTTTTTTTTTTTTTGTATTTAGTATAGGTCTACAGGGTCTCACTACATAGATCATCAGACTCATAGTGATCCTCCTGTTTTTAGCCTCCAAAGTGCTGGGATAACAGGTATACACCACCACTCCCAGTCTGAATCACCCTGGGGGCAGGGCCAGCACAGCCTGTAGGGGATGGAACCTAGTTCCTGTGTCTGCCTAAGCAGGCCCTTTAATCTGCAAGTTATCTGGCCTGCCCTCGTAAAGCAATACACTTCATGTGACACTTTGGTATGTTCACAAGTGAAATTCAAACTTCTTAGGCCTATATTTAAGACATACTATCTGCAACCAACCTGAAATTACCACCACTTTTTTGTGTGAGACATTAAATACAGGGCTCTATGCATATGGTAAACACTGAGCTATAACCCCAGTCTATGAAACAACCTATTTCATCCTAGCTAGCTATTGCCAACTAGGTTAAATTTTAAACTTTTTCAGTAGCAGTAAGTAGTGTGTCTTACCTTCTTTATTTTTTTACCTGGTAATATATTTTCCTGTTGCACATAGGTTTGGTTAGTGTTCTCCCAAAGACAAATCTAACAATCTAAGCCTTTTTTTTCTTTAGCACTCAGGCATGCTAGGCAAGTGTTCTGCTACTAAACTATACGCCCAGCCCTTTTAATCTCAAAAGAGGTTCTTCCTATGTGGCCCAGGCTGGCTTTAAACTTGTGATCCTCATGTCTCCGTCCTCACACAGCTGGAATTACAAACATGAGATATCATGCCCAGCTCCCATGCCACTTTTCTAGTAAAAAAAACCCCTCATTTTATTCTTGATGTGGAGTACACAATTTCTGCTCTTGTTGTGTCCTGGTTGTTAACTATTCTGCTATAAACATGGTACAACAGGTAATGATTCATAGAAATCAAGTGTTCTTGTATTCCAATAATTAGAAAAAAATTTAGAATTAACCTAACAAAGGAAGTAAAATACCCCTACAATGAAAACTACCGTACTCTGAAAAAGATGATCAGAGAGGACATCAGAAAATGAAAGACACCTCTGTTCCTAGATAAGCAGAACCAATACAGTCAAAATGGCCCTAAACTTTCAAAATGGATAGATCTAATGCAATCACAATAAAAATTACAATAATACTGATCACAGAACTAGAGTAAATAACTCTAAAACTCATAATGGAACTAGAAGAGACCAAGAATAGCAAAAGCAATCCTGGGCAACAAGAGGAAAGGAGGCATCATAATCCTGGATTTCAAGTCATATTACAAAACTACAGTAATAAAACAGAATAGTACTGATACAAAAACAAACAGGAACATTAACAGAACAGAACAGAGGATGCATAAACAACCCCAGGCATATTCAGTCATCTAGTCTTTGACAAAGGGACCAAAAATATATGCTGGAGGAAAGACAGCCTCTTTAGTAAATGGTGTTGGGAAAACTGCCTATCCATATGCAGAAGACTGAACCAAGACCCATATATTTTACTATGTACTAAGCTACAATAAAAAATGATCAAAAATCTAAATATTAAAACAGAAATATGGGCTGGGGAGATAGCTCAGCAGCATAAGTGCCTGTTTGGCAAGTGCAAGGGCTTGAGTTTGATCCCCAATACTACAAAAAACAAAAACACAAACAAACAGACCAAAAAATCCACCAGAAACACAACCAGATAGAAGATAAAATACATAATGATAAGTGTAGGCAAGGACTTTCTAAACGGAATCTAAATTGTACAAAAAATAACAGCAAGAATCAACAAATTAATGGGTCAGCCAGATAACTCAGTATGAAAGTGGCAAGACATATACTATCCTTCTACTATTACAAAAACTGTAGTTTGTACAGAAAAGATTCAGAATATGCCCCAACTGATTTTTTCATTCCCACCAATTTAAAATCTCCAAAATTATACCGCAGAGGTAGCATGTTTCAGTCAAGACGAGATGACTCTAAAATAACAGAGAAACTCAAATAAGTCCCGTGGGTCTATCAAGTTATACTTCAATTTGAAATTTAACTTAAGTTTTGAAAGTTAAATCTAACAAGTTAAATTTGAAAGTGCACAATAGTAAAGAAAGTAAGTTTAGACAATGAAAATACTGAGGCCAGCCAAATAGCTCAGTGGATTAAAGCACCTGCAAGCAGGCGCAATGGCCAGGGGTTTGATTCTCAGGCCTGCCATGCGGGCCCCACCCCAGGGCATGCTGAGACAGCAATTGAGACTGGGTGCAGTGGCGTGTGCCTGTAATCCCAGCACTTGGGAGGCTGTAAACAGGAGAATCAGTACAAGTCTGATCTAGTAGTGAGACCCTTAACCTCCTGTGGACCCTTCTCTAAAATACAGAAAAAAAAATAAAAAAGAAAAAAAGAATCAACAACATAATCAAATTAGATTATATAAAATTTAAAAAACCCCTATGAACAGCAAAGGAAATAACCCAGAGAATGAACAAACAATCTACAAAATGGGGGAAAATATGCCATTTACACCTTGGACAAAGAAGTAACATCTAGAATACATAAAGAACTAAAAAAAAATTATATGCCTCCGAAATAAAATAAAAAAATGGGCAACAAAAATGAACACACTTCTCAGAAGTACAAATGGACAATAGATGAAAAGTGTTCAAAACCTCTGGCCATTTAAAAAATACAAATTAAAACACTGAAATTCTATCTTATTCTAGAAAGAATGGCTATCTTCAAGAAATCAAACAGTAGCAAATGCTGGTGAGGCTGCAGGGGAAATAAAGAAGCCTTCTACAATGTTGGTGGGAAAGTAAACTAGTATAACCATTATGGAAATCAGTATAGAGATTCCTCAAAAACCTAAAGTTAGAAATTCCATTCAACCTAGCAATTTCTGTTCAAGATACCTTTCCCTAAGTATTAAAGATATTATATTACAGTGATATGTGCATATTTATGTTCACAGCAGCACAACTCATACTAGCTAGTGGTCTGTAGGTTCATCAACAGAAGCATGGGTAAAGACAATGTGGTATTTATACATAGAGGGGTATTACTGTATAAATCTCTATAAATTGCATAATCTAACTATAAATTACATAATCATTTATAGTAAAATGGACGCACTGTGACACCATAAAATTAAGTGAAATAAATCAAACATACAAGCTTAAATTCACAATTTCTCTTATATGAGAAGTATAAATAAAGTATAAAGAACAAAATAAAAGATAGTAGGAAACAGAGAGATCTTTTGCCAATGGGAAGGAGACCAAGAGATAGAAGGAGGGGGAAGAAAGGAAGGAAAGTATAAAGAAATTGAGATTATGCACATGTATGGACTTTTATGATATATGTGATAATTATGGACTGTATATATACACTAATCATTATGGATTGTACACAGGTATGAATACAAACAATTTTTTAAAAGACAGTATTAAATTCCTATTTTCTAGAACTAGAATTAACTCACAAATATATGCAACTGGAATGAGCAAAGAATCCTTTCATTTTGCACATAGGTTTCCGTTTACTTCTGAACTAAGAATTTCTCAGAGTTGTCAGAGATGTCCCTGAGAGTAGAGCAGGGACAACTGTTAGTTTGGGTTCTGGAGCTAGAATCTCTGGTTTTAGATAGATTCTCCCATTTCTATGTGACCTTGGGAAGGGAAGTTTCTAAATTTTCCTATGTCTCAGTTTTTTTTCTTTTAGAAGAGAGAATAATGATGCATGTGTTCTACGGTTTTCATTAAGAATGACTATGCCCTTGCTACATAAAATTATTAAAATGTTTTCATATAGGACTTTCTCTACTATTTTAAAACATTTGCTCAATTTCTCTCTCTAATCAGTGATGTGAACCTGACATGTGTGCCACACTGGGAGCTGTTATCACTAAAAGGTCTATAATTCTTCGTATCACTAATCTAGATAACTATGAAGTAGGCTTCATTAGCTGGTTGTTAATATTCATTACACATTGGGTGTAGGATTGTTACATAGAGGCTAATCAATAAACACTTGGTTATCCACTTAACTGGCATTCATAATGAACTTTCTCTTACAAAGCTATTAAATCCAGGTGTGCTAAGGTACATCTGTAATCACAGCACTGTGTAAAGGCTTAGGCAGGAAGACTGTAAGTTTGAGCCCAGCCTGTATAACTTTGTAAGACCCTATCTCAAAATAAAAAATGGGGTGGTGATGTAGCTCAGTGTGGAGCTGTGGGTTCAATCCCTAGTACTAGAAAGAAAAAGCTAACTAAAGCTCATTCTTCCAAAATTTGTTTTCCAAATACAGTGTACATTTGCAAGACATCTTCCATATGTACAATTTATAACATTTCATGGATGAGTTGTTTAATCCAATATTTTAGTTACCAAAATTAATTTGTTTTTCAAGGCAATACTTAAACCACACTCAACTTTTACAAGTGCAAACTATTTGTCTGCTTAAATACATTCTCAAAAATAGTGGCTTCATTTTAAAACATTCATACCTTTCTCTTTTTACAACTAGAAATATTTTCCTCTTTTTCCTGAGAGTCTTCATATTTGTCCAGAGCAACAGACCGCCTTTTAGGTGAACTTGAAATGTTTCTGGTAACGTACCCTGAAGTTAAGGGTACCTCTGCAGAAGTACTAGGTCTGGTATTTTCCTCAGGTATTGTAAAATGAATATTCATCTTTTCTTTTCTCTTGAGCTGGAAATTCTTCCTTTTGTTATGTAACATTTGGTACAGGATAAAAGAAGTGGTTAATTTAGCATTTTTAGCACATATGATCTTCATATATTCAATTGTTTTCATGACTTTAATAATATGGGCAATTTTTCCTAAATCTTTCTGAGGAAAAGACATTATATTTTTGAGTAGTGTAGAAAATTGACTATAGTTGTGTTCTAACTCTGTCACAGTGTTTCCATAATTTATGGATATTATATATGGGACAAAATCAATGTATGTGGAAATGGGACACTCAGATTTCTTTATGAGCTTTCTTATTTCTGAAAGTTCTTTAAGTTCCCTTGAGAATAAATGAAGAGCATATGAGCAATTAACAGCTTCTTTGTTCTTGTAGATGATATCCAGATCTTTTTTACATTCAGAAATACCAGTTTCTACTGCTTCACTAAGGCAATCTCTTGGGTTATTGTCAAGAAATGAGAAACAAACCATTTTTTCTTGGCAGTGAATCAGTTCAGGAAGAAGTGACAAATCAAACCAGAGCATACCTCGAAATCTCTGATTGTCTAATTTCTTTGCCACTGAGTTTTTAAGAAAGTGAACTGTTTCTGAGAGCATGGCAATTTCAATATATAATTCAGTTGCTTCAGGTTTTAAAATTACAGCTCCATGTTTGTGACTTTTCAGCATGTCCAAGACGTTTTCTTCTATGATAAAAATATCATCTATATTATCTCCTTGTAGAATCTGAAATTTTTCTTTTATAGTTTCTAAGTGATCTGTACAGATCGAAATAAGGTGCTGTAATTTTTTTAAGTCTGCAAATTCAGCCTGATCCAATATTTCACTAATACTAATATCTGGGTGTGAAAACGAAGTACTTTTTTCTATTACAATTAGATTATCTGATTTTCTGGAAGTAATCACAGTATCTTCCTTAAGCTCAAAATTCGAAGTTGGTATATTGTTTGAATTTTTGGACAAGTTATCGTATATCTTTTGCAATTTAGATAAAGCCCACTCATTCATTTTATGTATCACTTCTTTGGGTTTTTTTGAGTATTTTTTGCTGAAAGATTGTCTCTTCTTTTTCCAAACAAGATTTTTTGCAGCATCAAAGCATATATGCTCTAGACCATAAAGTGAGACTCTAATATTTACTGCCTCATTGCTCCTTATGAAATTAACTTTTGAGGAAATCATTTCTATGATGATCCACAGATGGTCTTGTTTTTCTAGGTATGAATGAACTTTAGGAGAGTCTTCATATGTACTGATCAGCTTTAAAGCACTTTTTCTTAAGATTTCTAGGTCTCCTAAACTATCTCCAAAGTTAACTCCACAGGTAAATGGAACAGAAAGAGAAAAATTAAAACAATCAGAATATTGCTTCATTATAGCTTCACATTCATAAATCTGTCGTCTGTATTTTAAGAATGCATAGTATGAATTATCCCTTTTTGTTTCGGCACACAATTCAGTCAACTGAGTATGATAATTCTGCAACTCACAGAATGCATCATATTTTAACCTTCCTTGAAAAGCAGGATAGAAACTAGACTGCAACTGATATCCATGTGGCCTGCCAAGAAGTTCACTGTACAATGTCTCATCATACCAAAGCAAGCTTCGGAATGTTGGTTCTCCTTCTAAGAGCCTTTTTTTATTTTCAATGAATTGAATGGTTTCCATTGCCATCTGAAGTTCTATTAAAGTGTCAATAGCACATGGGTTTAATTTGTATTTGCAGTTATTCCACAGATTTTGTTCTACCAAAAGCTCTCTTGAAATCAGAATTTGTTCAAGTGAACATTCCTGCTTTCTTTCGAAAGCTTCCACAAATAAAGGGAGAATATTCTGACAAGCCTTAGTTTCTTCTTCTAGAACCTCTAAAGATAATGCTTCATCTGCCCTTTGCAAAATTTGGGATAGCTCTGTTATAAGCGCTACGTAAGTAACTGAGCAATATTTTTCTTTTAATTTATTCACATATGATGTAGGTTTCTGAACAGTCTTAACTTGAGAAGCTTCAGAGTGGGCATGGAGAATAGGTATATGATCAATTTCCAGAATGTCTGGCTTGGAAATACAGCCAAACTGACAGTCACTATTAATTTTTCTCTTGTCACTTTTTCTTTTGTCAAGCTGACTAAAAACTGTGTTATTTAAAAAGACTGTCTCTGGGGTAGTTTTAATGCTTAGGTGAGAATCAGTCAAGTTTCTTTTAACTGTTTTTGTATTTAAGAAAGAGGATTTTTCTTTTCGGACCCTTTTCTTTTGATTTTTGTACTCAGTCATGACAACTGGTCCTTCATACATGCTTTTTTTATAAAGTGAATCTCTTGTTTTTTCTGCTTGTTCAATTTTCCTAATTTTTCTGTTCCAAGTATTTTCCTTTATAGTATATTTTTTTGAAAAATTCTTTATATCTTCTCTTAAGAGACGAGAACTATCATTAAAAAATGTCTTCAATGTATTTTCCCCATAACTCTTAAGCCCTTCAGCTGATGTCAGATCCAATTTTGAATGCTCAGTAACATTTGTTTTATTCCCTTCTACACAGAAACAACTATTTGAAGATTGCTGTGTCTTTGGAAGTGCCTTCCTACCATACATCTGTCCACAGTGTGACCTAATAGTGGGAGGTGCAGAATAATCTATAGCAAAAGCCCTCTGCTTATCCAAACATTTTGAAGATTCTCCCTCACTATCTGTCGTTGGTGTGGTTGGTAACTGAAGAATACTGTATTGTTTGTTTGATATCAAAGTTACGTTGAATGGGCCCATAATGTTTCCTGTAGTAATACTTGGTTTGCTCTCAACTGGAGCTATCCACCTTTCTATAGGAAAACTTTCTTTCAGGTTACTTTGACAGCCAGATATAATAGAGTGATCTCCTTTGCAGGTATCAACATTTAAAAAGAGCTTCATGTTGGAATCTAGGGTTGAAATAAACATGTCAGTTTTCACCTTTGTGTGGTCTATACATATTGCATCATAGTTTTTCTCTGTGCTGTAACTTACATTGTTTTTTTTAGTTTCACTTAAAGATACTGAACTACTTTTGGTTATTATTTCATTAACTTCAGAGGTTTTTTTTTTTGCCGTATCCTTATTATGTGCTGACTGGTGCCTAAGCTTTTCACATTTACTAGTTTTCGATAACTGTGCACCAACTTGATTTTCTTTTTCAGATTGTTCATTTGAGTAGGGCAGATATTCAGTTTTCTCAGAAAAAGGTTTAAGCTCTGATCTTGAATCTTTCATACTGCTATTATTATATTCTGAGTGACTTGTACTTTGGGATATAGAAAAGAGTGACAATTGTGATTCAGGGTGGTGGTGTTCATCACAATATTCTCTAACATGAACAGTGGTGTGACTCATGCAGACACTGTTGTTCATGCTTTTATTGGAATGGCATACTGCACTCTTCTCTCCATTTGTTTTGTGTGACTTGTGCTTTGACATGCAGGCTGGCTGACTAACATCAAATCCAAAAACTCTTTCCCCCAATTTTTCGTATTTTCTTTTTGACAAAAAATGCTTGGAATATCTTCTTTCAGATACAGAACTACAATTCTGAAGGTCACAGCTTTCCCAGAAATTATTGCATATTATTTCATATGCTTTGGGTAATGGGCCCTTTCTTTTTTGTCCCACTTTAGCTATTAGCTGCAAAGACGTGTGAACTCTTCTATGAGCTTTCTTTAAGTGAAGAACAGCTCTGTTTAGTTTTCTGGAAAGACGTTTGCTTTTACATAACGATGCTTCACTATTTAGAATATCTAGAACATCTTTTATGTGTCTTTCTGACTGTGAAAACGTTTTCATTCGTCCTTGGGATAATGAAGAAAAGCACTCGTATGAGTCATGATTGGACAGTCTTCTTTCCTTCTCACAAATTTCATGCTGTTTCCAATCTTTATGTGATATCTTATGGTCCTTAAGAGATGTATGAACCTTTCTTCTGCAAATTCTTGATTCCATGTCTTTTTTATTTGTAGTATTAAAGTTAGTTTTTGACTTTTTAAAGAAACATTTGTGTTCATTATTTATTGTTGTGACATTAGAAGGTTCAGAACAAAAAGATTCACTGTTTTTTTTTTCAGACATGTGATTATCAGTATTGTGACTCAAATTAAATGAATGGGAAATTTCAGATTTACTCACAAGGCCTGAATCCTGCATGGAATTATCAAATTGATCTTCACATGGGCAACCTAGATTTTCACAAACTGACTTAGAATCAACTTCAAATCCTGGAGCTTTCATAGCTTTCTCCTCTTCATTTCTTTCCGGTTTTGAGGCTTCTGTTAAACATTCACTAAAATTTTCTTTCGTCAAAAGGGTATCTTCAGGGGGAATGAATGTTTGTCTAATGGTGTTAGTAATTCTAACCTGTAGATCTGGAAGCAAAATTGGGTAGAGTTTTTTATAAGAAGAACAAAAAGTAATAGTATTCTTAGAGTGATGTTGATCTATATTCTCTCTTATAGTGCTTCCCAAATCATTCATCTTTCCATTACTGCTTCCGAATAGACCTTCCCAATCGATACGAGACTTCAGAGCCTCATATTCTTCATCAAGCGTATCTTCATGGCTATGTCTATTTTGTTGAAGTAAAAAATCATCATCATACTCTTCTAATTCTACTTCAATCTCACTTTCAACATCAAAATTTTGAAGAACTGAGTTCTCATTTACTGGCTGATGAAGTGAATCTTGCAATTTATTTTTATCCACATCAATTCCACAGTCAGCAATCTTATGTTTTACTAACAAACCAAAATCTGGACTCTTAGAAGAATGAGTTTCTTTAAACTGGTATCTTTGGTGAGCTTCATGATTTGTACTTGATGTAGGCAAAGCAGTGTTAGCTAACTCTATTGTAGGATTTGATGCTATACCTACTGAAAGACCTTCAACTTCAGGAAATGGTGTCAAAGCCAAATGCTCTACATTTCTTCTGGTGTTCTGTACATCTCTTTGTTTCATGGCAGCAAAAGTATCTTCATTGTCTAATGTAGTTTTCGGTGACTTATCTTTTTCTTTCCAAATGAAGTTGAATGCAGTAGAAATGTCTTCAGAACTGAGAATTTCAAATTTGTTGTCATTTTTATTCTTCTTCCTGTCTTCTATACTGGTTAAAGTATTGTTTGTATGGCATTCTTCCTTCTCATTTCCACAGATAGTCTCTATCTTGTTTTCTGGAGGTGAAGCTCTATCATCCTCTTCAGCTTCAGTTTTGTTTTCTTTATCATTATCTCTTGGCCCTTTGAAATGAGTATTTAGAAATTTATCATAATTCAACTGTGCAGTACCAGACAGCATGTGAGGCTGATATTCATCTTCAAAATAAGGATTTTCTTTGCAGTCTCTTTGAATGTTCTCTAATAACACTGGCTCATTTTCATTTTTCTTCTGGACATATAAATATTCTGTAGTTTTGCTGCACTTTGAATTGTTAAGGGCTATTTCAATGCCATGAAACATAGAATTAGCAAGTAGTTCTCTGGTCTGAAGAACTTCTTCTGCTTCTTGGAAAGTATCAGTTATAATACTAACATAATTTTTATTTGTTTTTTCCAAATTCATTTCTCTTAGCTTTTGAGTGAATCCAAAACTCATTGGCATGCTACCTCCATAGTCTGTAGAATGCTGAGGATGCTTTTGTGAAATGCTCTCTAGAGTAAGATTACTTTCTAAATCCAATGCTAGTTGATCCTGTTCATTATCCTTTGTGGTAAAGATGGGAGATTCTGGCATTTCTAATTCTTGGGTAACTGCTATTTCATCCATATTTCCTCCCAAAGGATCAAGGGTCTCATCGTCTTTGTATTCTTGGCATGAAGAAATGTAATTACTGATCGGAGTGATTTTTGTTTCATTAGTGAAGTAATTATCAGTTTCTTTTTGCAAAGTTTGTTTTTCTTCATATCTGTAACTATCTTCTGGGTCAGTGAAGTTTCTTATCTTGCTGGTATTTTGAATGCACTCATGCATGTTTCCTTCCCTTTGGGCTGAGAAGACTGTAGATATCTGGTGACCAGTATGATACAAAGTGCTAAAATTAGAAGAATGTAATTCTTTTGAGTTACGACTACTGGAGTCTTTTCTGTCAGTATTCACTGATTCGTAAGAGCTATGTGGCCTGCTGCTGTGTTTCATTAAAAGTGGAATATTGTTTTTCTCTTGGGCTCTCTGGGCCGTAGCCTTGCTGTGTTTTTGGTTCTCAAGCTCTGAAACATTTAACAAAGAAATTGGGAAGGGAAAATTGCCTTGGTCCTTATATTGTCTGACCCAGGGTGCTACGCAATAATCCACTGGATCCATGTTTTGAGTCTGAGATGGAGAGTCATCAAAAGAAAATTTGTTTGTATCCAAACAATCAGAAAGAATAGCACAATCACTTGGGACAACTTCAGATGAGGATGTAGAATTAGTTGCCACACATGACAGGTTTATGTCTGAATTATGATCTAAATTCTTCTCAAATGGCAAAATCTCACTGAAACCTATAATATTATTTTGTTTTCCCAAACTTTCTCCTTTTTTCATTAGTCTTGGGTCTTTGATGAATTTTGAAGTAATAAGTGTACTTGAGCCAATATTATTGTGGGAAGGAAAAGTAGGAGACATAACATTTAAAATATCTTTAAGATATGTTGAAAACATATCATCACTATTACCACTTCCTTTATTATCACTGGGCATAAAAGAACGATTTGAATCACATGCAAGTCCTTGGGAAGTGCCTCTAATTTCTGCTAAACTGTTCTCTGATTGCCCACCATATGTTTCAAGTATAGACATATTTCCATTTTGCACATTTTCATAAGAATCAGAAATATTTGCATTGAAGGAATTTATCGCTGAATTCTGTGTACTGCATGAACAATTTTCTAGAGCAAATGGATCTACAGGTTTCCCAAAATGCTCAAAGATCACAGTAGCATCTTTTCCCTTTCCAATTCTTTTGGCCACTGTACAGTTATTCAGACAGCAGTTTCTTTCTGTGAAAATAATAGAAATGTAAGAACAATATAGGCAAATCAATACAAGAAAACTGTCATAAGTAACTAATTAAAAGCTCATCTAATAATGTAATGATGATTAAAATTTGTGCTCATCAGAAAAATCAAAGGTAAGGCAATGAGTACCATGCAAGTAAAATATAAAACAAGCATCATAAGCTCTACCTTAGTCTAGGAACTTACTAACAAAGGTATGTGCTATTAAAAATGGATTCTAACAATAGAAAACTTAAATTGGAAAATATTTTTTTCAGCTAGCCCTTATATTAATTTACAATATATAATATTTGATAGTAGCATCTATGCATTAGTAGGCAAAACTGTCTCCCATTTACTGTTATCTTGCTTCTTTTCCTTCTACCATGGAAAAAAAGAGAGAATGAGGTGAGGAGGTAGGGTGAAGAAAACTCCAGTCTCACAAAGTCTTTATCAGGGGATAAAGCAAACCATTACTTCTCTGTCAAAACACAATAAATGTGTCTATCAACTGAAGTGTTTTAGGTTTCAGATTTTTCTGAAATTTACTGTTTTGTCTATCTGAGACAGGATTCCTATCTATCTATCTATCTATCTATCTATCTATCTATCTATCTATCTATCTCATGCTGGCCTAGACTCCTTATGTTTAGGTAGTCCAGGATAGCCTAGAACTCATAGAAATCCTCCTGTCTCAGTCTATTGAGAGCTTGAATGCATTTTATACATTGAAGCCAATTGCAGATATTATTCTTAATAATTGTATGGGATTTCTACTGGCATCATGGTGGTACTCAAGAAGTTTTGGATTTTGGAGCATTTCAGACTTTGGATTAGGAATGTTCAATGTGTGTATATAAATAAAAATCTGAAAAGTGATGATGAATTTTCTATCTAAATTTACAGAAATTTATAAATTTCCTAAGTAACCTACAATAATAAAGGAACTTATAAAACACTATTTTGCTTAGAGATGCACAATATATTAAAAATATTCAGAAATTCAAAGATCAGCACAACAGTACTAAAGTAGAATAATGCATCTATCTTACCACTCCTCTTAGGAAATCCTGTTGTAAGTAACCTCACAGATGTTTTACGGTATCCATTATCCATTTCGTGACCAATAAATTTTACTGTTATTATTGCATATGGAAGACACTGCCTAGGCTTATCTACTGGCTTTGAAAGGGCACTGTATTCATAGAAGTATACCTGAAGACAAAAAATAGAAAAATTTATGCTGATGAATTTTGGCAGTTAAATTCAAGCTTACATTTTAAAAATGCTGTATACTTGCATATCACATAATTTACTGACTTCCATTTACCAATTCTTTTCTCTCTGCTTCAACCCTTAATTTTTGAAGATATATAAAATTCATTTTTTTTCTTCCACCACATATTTGCAATGTTTGTAGAAGCAGATATTTGCAATGTTTGTAGAAGCAGATATAATCTGTTTTTCAAACAGGAAGTATTATGTTATTAAGAGTTAAACACTGTGCATACACTGGGAGCCATTACATGCTTTGATAGAAAAATTAGGCAAATGATACTTATTACATGTAAGAATATGCACATATTCCTATACAGAAACTTTATTTAATTATATATAAAACTTAACCTTCTATAGAACATTAAAAGCCTATAGCCAGGTGTTGTGGCTCCTGTAATCCCAGCACTGGGTAGGCTGAGGCAGGAGGATTATTGTGAGTTGGAGACCAGCCTGGGCTACAAATTGAGCTCAAGACCATCCTGAAATGCATACTGAGACCCAATCTCAAAAAGACCAAAGGAAGAAAAAAAAAAGCAAAATGTGATAGAAAACTGTTTCACTTCATGGCTAAATACATAAAGCTTTTCTTATTTTCTACAGTACAAAGAATCAATAATATTGCTTCAAGACAGCATTGTTCATTTTCAGATTAACATTATTTCTAATATAGCATAATCAATAATTATGGGATACAAATGGCATTTTGAATACATATATATATATATATATGAGAATGAGTATATAAAACTAACATATCTGCCATCATACCCATTTTTTTCCATAATTTTATTGAGAAACAAATATCAGTGAGACAGTTTCAAATCCAATTAGTAGGGCAGTTTCAATAATTAATACATTGCATATTGTTGTCTCAGTGGTTATTCATTGTACAAGATGCAAACATGATACCTTGTTTACAAACACTATTAGAACAAATCTTTCTATTCATTGAATTAAGAGAATGTAGTTGTATATCTATCCTATTCTGAATATACAGATCAAAAATGGTTGTTCATTTCTATCCCCTTTGTTTAGTTTTGTCATTTAAATATTACAGGTGTTCAATATAGTTCTGGAATCATTAGCTACAGCCATTAGACAAGAGAAAGAAATAAAAGGAATAAGAATAGGCAAAGAAGAAGTTAACTTATCTTTATTTGCAGATGACATGATACTTTACTTGGAAGACCCAAAAATCTCCACCAAGAAGTTACTAGAATTAATACAGAAATTCAGTAGCATAGCAGGTTATAAAGTCAATACCCAAAAGTCAATAGCATTCCTCTACACAGAC